ATTTGTATCTAACGCCGTTATTTGCACACAATATGATGGGTTTGGTAAGTTTAATATGGTAGAAAATTTGGTCCAGATTTAATTCAAACTTATTATTATCTACCTATGACCAAGCTAATAACTAACAGATATAGGTATAATAATATATTAATATAGTATACAATTATTACTTATTATTATATGTATACAGGTTGATTTTTTAAGTATGCTCACTAAGCACACCCCGATTTTATGTTTAAATTATCCATATTCCAAATTATCTATATTCGAATTCTGAGTTTTGGAATTTTTAAGTGGAGTTATTAAGACGTTTATGTTTTATGATTTTTCACAAAATTTAAGGAGTATATTATGTGGCGATACCAATATTGGTTTTTAAAATGAGATCCCATATGTTTTACATGCAAATAATAAATCAGATGATGATTATTGAAAATTGTTTACCTATACCTATTGTAATCGAATTTTGAACGAAAAGTTTCTGAGTTATAAATTAAATAGGTACCTACTAAAGTTAATAGTATATTTAAATACTTTTTAAACGGATATACGAGCTGGGTAATTATAATTAAGTATACTGTATACAATATAAAATATTTGTTAATAATATCAAGTCAAATATACTCAGATAATTTTTTTAATATTAAAAAAATGCTTTTGGATTAATATTGCATTCAATAATTTTCAAAACATAAGTAAATTATATTATTTTATTATACTGTTATCCTTAGTATTTAAAGTAGAACAAACTCAGAAACTTTTTTGATTACAGAACGTAAAAAATTTGGGGAAAATCATCTGATTCACAAATCACATTACAAAATAAACAGTGGATACTCCTCGAATGTTTAGAAAAATCTAACTATTTGAAAATATCGGTTTAAACTACACTTAAAAATGTCAAAACTCAGAATTTGAATATATTATACTATTTTTCATAATGCAAACATAAAATCGGAGTGAACGTGCTTAAAAAAATCACCCTGTATATTCTATATATTATTATTATAATATGTTACTTCAATATTATCTATGTATGTATAATACCTATTATTATCTACGTCTCATTTGGTTTCTGGGCCTCTTAGTTTGTATATTGTCACAATTTTTCTTATAAGCATTTATAGTTCAAATATTGACAAAATACGTAAAAATGACGAAAATTTGCAAATTATTTTGAGTTATAAATTCTTAAAAATTTTTCTTTTTAAATCTAAGATATGAAAATGTAATAGAAGATTCCTTATAGGTTTGTCTACTTTTATCAAAAAAAATAATATTCTTAAGGAAGTTAAACTAAATATTTATGACCGTTTGAAATTCAAATTTTTACAACATTGGATATTCACTCGATTTCACATGTAACGATTTTCTAATTTTTTTGTAATTCAAAAACGAATAACTGTAGATACATGAACATTTCACTGAATGTTTATTTTATCGATTCTTATACGAGATAAAATTTTCAAAATATTTTGACTTGTTTTGAGCTGTTTACGGACAATTTCATATTTAAATTTTTTTATTTGAATATCAATAAAGTTTTATTTGTTGGGCCAAAAAGTGTAAAAATTTAATACAAGGCTCCTGATATATTGTTATAATAGCAGTTGAAAAATATTAAAAATACACTGGATTTTTTTTTATAAGCATTTAAAGATCGAATTTTGACAACATTTATCAAATTTAAAATTGAATAATTATTTTGAAGTTAAAAATGTAGAAAATTTTCAACTTTTATATCTAAGGTTGAAAATTTAAAACAAGATTCCATGTATGTAGTTAATTCTATTACCAAAATATCTAAATAATACAAAAGTACAGTTTATTTTTAGTCATTTACTTCAAATTTGGACGAAATTACATATTAAAAAACCTATAATAGAATAACTATTTTAGTTATTTTGTTGTGATTGTAAAATATTATTCGTGGGTACTTGAAACTTCTAAACTATACTAGGTACAATATATCTAGGTATGATAGTATCACGGTTTGTTATTGATGTATAACGAGTTATAAGTACCTACCTAATGAATCTTGTGATATGATTAATTTATATTATAGGTCAATTTTTTTTTAATACCATAGATATTAGATATGTACCTATATAATATGTCTTATACCTAGACTGACATACCGTCTCCTCACAGAATCGTTTTTCTTATAACCGACACTGGTTCGATAATTCGATATACCTCGCCACTTCGGCCATGGAAGGCATTTTTCTTCGGGCAAGTCGACTGTCACAAGAGTGTCCGGAGAATAAGTGTCGCCATCCCCCACCCGGCCATGGCAGATACAAATTAGTTATAGGTAGGTATCATCACAGTTGTACTAGTTTTGGGCAGTAGATACGCATCTCCTTCACCTCCGGCATATATCGTAGTTCTCCACTTCTCATTGGTTGATTTTGTAATTTGTTCTATGTTATATATGTATGTATATGAATAGGTATATGATTGACAGCCAATAAGAAGTGGAGAACTACGATGAAGAGGAAATAAAGAGCGGAGGATGCGTATCAAAATATTGTGATGATACCTATCTAATTTGTCATGCCTACGGGGGTCAAATCAAAAATTCTGCCAAAGCAAACACGCACATGTTTCCCCCACTACCAACAAAAAAAAAACAAAAAACAAAAAACGGTTAAGTGGATGTCGCTCTGCTGTACAATAGGTTACAAGTGGGTCATTGTATAATGGATTGTATATTAAACTTGAATTCAATGATATAATATCATTGTACAAGGAAAACGATTCTGAGAGGAGATGGTTTGTCAGTCTGGATATTTTATATTGTTATTAGTTATTATATCATGTAAGTTGAATTAATATTATAATATAATTATTTTTTATTCGATTCTATGGTAATAAACAAAGCTTTAGAAATTAAAATCCAATTTTTAGAGGTTTTTCGTAATTTTTCAGTGGTTTTTACCGTGGCATTACTGGCATTACATAACTATTGATAAAATTACCTGTCTAAAGTACCATCTTGATACAATTTGCTAAAAGATAAGGTACTATATGTTGAAATCGAAGAACTCCTTCTGGTAGAAACTTTGTGTACAGGAAATAAAAATAAAAAATAAACACCATTGTTAAACCACTAGCTTCCTCGCTCCGCTCAGAATCTAAAATATAATTTTTAAAAAATCACAAAAAGGTGAAAGACATATTAATCTCTCTCTTTATTTTAATATTAGATTTCTTAGGTACTCTACCTGAGCACCTGAACTTCCTAAAAATATAAATCATACATGCATTCAACAATGCAATATTATGTAATTTATTTTGTACAATCTACACAACCTTAAAAATAAATGTTCAATGTATAGTAAAGTTGCTGCAGTAAGTAACCCCTAGCACCCAGATCCATTACTTTTCATACTTTTAATACATTTCAACCATGTACTTATAATACATAGTACTAATGTACTTTATTTTGTAATTTTTTCAACCAAAATTAAATTTTGGAGTATAATGGTTTTGGGCAGTTGTACAAAATTCAAAAAATAAGTGCATACCTAATGCTGCATGGTTGAATTTTATGATTTCAAAAGTACAGATACCATGATATTACCCGGATTTCTTTTATAATTTTTTTGATTAATAGATATAAGAACTTTAAATATGCAAAAATTTACAACATACATTTTTGGATTTGTTATATTTGACTATTTGAGTCAACTATTATAAAAACAAATTAGTGTCCAGTTAGGTTTTGAACTATGTTTGAAGATAGGTTTAGAAAATGTATTGAACAGTTTAAAAAAATTTTATTTAAAATAATTGTCAATTGTCATTGATTACAATATAAGTTGTTAATTCGCTGCTTGATCATACTATATGACCGAGCAGTGATACTCAACTATTTATATTATATTAGATGCCCAAATTAAAAATATAAATTAAATAAAACAGTACAATTAAAAAAAAACTTTCTACTGACATCTTATATTAATCAAACACAATATCTCCAAGTATACAGAAGTTTAATTTTATCTAAAATAATTTAATAATTTGTATGCACTATACAATAAGAAAATGTTTTAGTAAGTGAATGATTGAATTTCACATGCTATCTAGTACCTCAAATAGTTTTGGTATTAATTTAGATGGTCAGTATGCCAGTTTCTTTTGTATCTACCATTTAGGTTATCATGGAAGGTTTAGGACATTGATGAATTTATGGGATTTATTTATAAGTGGTTAATGGACCATGAAATCTTCTGTGATGACTAGTGAAATAGAGAAGGTTTATCGACTGTATAATTTGCAAGTCTTATGTCAGCATGCATTTGTGATATACCATAAGTGCTGCAGTTGTTAGATATAGACAGATCAATAAAATAAATAAATATTGATTATCAATTGCCAATTGGAATGCTATAGCTGATGCTTTAGTCTTATCCAATAATTTTATTCTATGAGTCTAAACTATTACTAATGATTACTTTTATACTAATATTTAGGGTCCATTTTAGATTCAAATATTGGAGACAGTAGGTAGTCAAGTATACAAAATTAAAAAAAAAAAATGTACTATATATTATATAAATTACATTACAATGTATTAATGTATATTATATCGAGTATGTTTTTACTTATTATAAAGGGAACTGAAAAAATTGTATTAATTTTTATATTTTTTAATTTTTTATAGAATACAAGTCAAGAAATATCAAAATGTATAAAATATTTGGTACATATTATATTTGTGTTCTGTCATCTATATTCTATTTCATATAAAATGGTTTGATATGAATAATTCTGTGTACATTTATAATATTACAAAAAAAAATTAAATATTTATAACATTAAAATATTAATCTTATTTTTACAAATCTGAATGGATTTTTTGTTTGATTTGAATTTATATGAATTTCTAGAAAGCAGTTTCATTACAATTATAAATGTTATTATTTAGTATTATTGTCAATTATTGACTTTTTTATTTACTATTTATCACTTAAACCTAATTATTTATCCTATCATTATTTTTTTGACGTCCCAAAACCTGAAAATCCCATTAATGCTGCCATATCATCGTTTTGTGGTTCATCATCTAATTCGTCATGTTTTCGTTTTTTTTCTTTCTTTTTTTCTTTTCTATATTCTTTTAACTTCTCTTCCTGAAAATTTAATGAACAAATAAAATTAAAAATATTGGTAAACCATATGTAAAATTTAAAATTACTTCTTCTTTCAATTCTCGTAAACGCTGTTCTAAATCATAATCTTTTTTCTTTTCTTCCATTTTTTTTTTATTTGTTTCAAATCGTTTTTTCACTTGATCCAATGATGATCTTTCAATTTTCATGGACATTCCTAAATTTCTTTGATCTGAAAATATGAAGTTATATAAATGTTAACAGCTATTTAAATGTAAAATCATTTTGATAAACAACAGTTGAGTCTCAATATCGAGGTTTAATATAAAGTGATAATTCCAATTTTTTTCTTTTCCCTTGAAATAATACATAATATAAGTTACATTTAAGTAATACAACTTGAAAAAAAAGTCAAATTATTTTTATCCCCCTCAAAAGTCAAGTTTTCAAGCCTAACTGTATATACTATTCACATAATTAATCAATAAAGACCGGATTCTTGTGAAATTGCATTTTTTGTTGCAATTCCAATGAAAACAAACTACCTATGAATCCAAATGAAGGGAAGTAGATTAATTAAAACAATTTTTATTTGTGTTCAAAATTGTTCAATTGCGGTTTTTGCATTAAAATGTAGGTTTTAAATTATATTTCATCTAAATGCACATTTTCTTATTATTACAGGTATTATTTTGAAATTTTGTTTCTTTATCATTGTAGTTCAACTTAGGATTTAACTAAGTAGGTACAATGTAATAAAGATAACGATTATGTGACAACCATAATATACAATCGATATTCACTGCAGCTGTAAGATAAACACAAAGAAATTTACATGATAGTATATTTTAGTAAAATAGTATACATTAATATACAATATTTTTGATTTATATATATCTACCTACATACAAAAATAATATAATATGAAATAAATGGTAAAAAAAATATAATACTAAGTACCAACACTGAAAACATTTGTTCTTTAATTCCTACAAAACTAAAATCTTAATTGCGTACGTTTTCAGATGTTCTTTTGCACAAAAATACGGTCTTTAGTAATCAATGAATAATTTATTTTGAGAGAACACCTCATCACTGATTAATATTCATCTACATTGTTTTAAAATTACATGGGTTGTAGACTTACGTTTTTTTCCATTTATATGATCCAAAAAATTAATGGAATCTTTAACCACACAATCGCAAACATTACAGTAATATCTGAAATATATCAAGATTGATTTAGTAAAAATAAAGTCAAATAAAAAAATAAATATTTATTACCCTCCACTTTGTGAAGAAGGAGTGGCTTTAGTAATTACAACACTTTTTCCAAGTTTTGAGTCTAAGTCTACACGGTAATCTCGTTGCTTGAGCATTTCTCTTTTTATTGGGGATAGGTCCTTGGAATGATCGTCGTCGAGATCGTCCATCAGTCTTTTTCTGGCCAACTTTTCGTATTCGTCTCGGTCCCATTTTCGCCGATGATCATCCGGTCTCTATATAACATTAAAGTCAAAATTATTTTTTACACTATCAAACTGTTTTTTATTTAGGTAACCGGTAGAAAAGATTAAACAAAATGTATACTCACACTACTTGATGACATTATGAGTTTGTTGTATTGATTTATTATTGTCAGTTTAAAATAAATTTAATAGTTTAAAATAATGTGATCATATAAGTAGAAATATTATGTTTTACTTGTAACTTGTTTAGTAATTGGTATTTGATAATAAGTGATAACATTTTAGATTTGCGTTTTTGTTTTGTCCACATGGCTTATCAGTAAAACGTACAACAAAAATATTTTGACGAGCCTTCAAATGCCATACTTTCGGTGGCAAGTATTACTGTTGCGGAGCCACTGTTGTTCATGCATTAATTCGATATCTACGTGTGTGATAAGATAACATTTAAATAATTACCGCGTGAATTTAAATATTATAATCATTATTATTAATACAAGTAAATAATAAAATTGAGTATTGTAATTTTTATATCCTAAATCTAAATTATTATACTTATAATGAAAAATGTAAGAATGATAATTCTAACATGTCCTACGAAAAAAAAAAATAATAATAATTTATTAAACTTTATTTAATACGTCCTACAAAAATATAATAGGTACAACATAAAATTAATATAATTAATTTTAATTCAATATTGTTTGTTACTTTTTTTTTACAGTTCATTACCCGAACATAATTCATAATAATTAATAATTCAAATTTATCTTTAATGCTATTGCTAAAAAATCCTAAAATTAAGAAAATTTAGTTTTATTTATTTGCCTTGTTTTTTGGCACCACAAAAGACATATTATACAAAATAATTAATACTATACGTATATTACTTATATTTTTAATAATGTTATGACATTTATACACTAGCAACAAAATAAAAACCTGCAGCATTAATGTTCAGATACTAAAGACTACAGTCTACAGTATTAACAGTAATACAAATTGTGTAGGTCGATATATGGTGGTAATAATAATACGACCCATATTCGAAGTGACACTTGATTGTAATAAAGATCATTGATATTAAACTATTAAAGATACAATTATATACAACGCGGGAATTCCTATACATGGACAATGTATATAGAAAAAGTTTAATAAATTATTATTATTATTTTGTTTTTTTTGTAGGACGTGTTAGAATTTTCATTATTACATTTTTTTTTTTTTTTTTTATAAGTATAATAATTTAGATTTAGGATATAAAAATTACAATACTCAATTTTATTATTTACTTATATTAATAATAATGATTATAATATTTAAATTCACGCGGTAATTATTTGAATGTTATCTTATCACCGACGTAGATATCGAATAAATACATGAACAACAGTGGCTCCGCAACAGTAATACTTACCACCGGATCTATGGCATTTGTAGGCTCGTCAAAAATATCAGCTATAATTTCTTATCACGGTACCCAACTATGACATTGTTCTATGCTATTACTGTCCTCATCACACATTCTCATGAAGTAAAAAATTTCTTAATTTAGAAAAAAAATCATTTTCTTCCTTTTTATACCTTTAACAACAATAAAAAAATTTTCTGGAAAATCAATTTATTTTTTTTCGATTCTGAGCGGAGCGATGAATGTATTGATTTTACGATTATGTGTTGTTTTTTTTGTGTCTGTGTACCTACTACCTATACGATAACTGATAAGAAGTCGAAATAATACTTCGATATTCAACTTCCGGTGGGAAAGTGAATCTAGTTGGTGCAATGGTGTATCGAGGAGAGCAAAATGCCCTGGAGTTTTCAAAACCACCGAAAAATAACAACAACAAAAATTAAGAAAAAACGGGAATTTTTACGCAAAATCGATTTTGGTTTTTGGTATAATTCTATTACCATAGATGCATGACATTTTCGCTCAATGTTTATATTAGCATTTGCTATACGCCTATATACATACACCATAAAACTCTCGACAATTTTTGACTTGTTTTGAGCTGTTTACGGACATTTTCAAATTCCAATTTTTTTCAATAATGTCAATAAAATGTTATTCGTTGGGTCAAGAATATTGAAAATTTAATACAATGCTCCATTGTTCCTAATTATAAATTGTTACAATGGCAGTTGAAAAATATTAAAAATACAAAGTCGCGTGCTTTTTATAAGCATTTAAAGTTCAAATTTTGACAAAATACGTAAAAATCAAGAAAATGTGCAAATCATTTTGAGTTAGAAATTCATAAAAAATGTTCTTTTTAAATATAAGATTTTAAAACTGAATTCAAGATTCTAATAAATTTGCCTACCTTTAGGCAAAGGATCCTGCTATATTGTTACTATAGCACTTGAAAAATATTAAAAATACATAGGCACAATTTTTTTTTTTAGGGATTTAAAGATCGAATTTCGACAAAATTTATCAAATTTAAAATTTAATATATATTTTGTAGTTAAAAATGTATAGCATGTTCAACTTTTATATCTAAGGATTGAAAATTTAAAACAAGATCCCGTGTAAGTAGTTAATTCTGTTACCAAAAAATCTAAAAAATACACAATTACAGTTTATTTTTATAGTAATTTTAAGTTCAAATTTGGACGAAATTACATATTAAAATCAATATTAACGATTTTAGTTTTTTGTTGTAATTTAAAAATATTATTCAGGGATATATGAAACTGAAAATCAAAAAATCAAAATATTATGGCCTATCCATACAATCTACCATAATATAATAAATAAGAAGTATGCTCTATGATAAGACTGTGCATATTTTTTTTTAATTAGGCATTGATAATATGTCATATGTATATAATATGTCTTAAACCTATACTGACATACCGTCTCCGCTCAGAATCGTTTTTCTCATTCAATGATATTATATAATTGAATTCAAATTTAATACCATCCATTATACAGTGACCCACTTGTAACCTACTGTACAACAGAGCACCTTTTTTTTAATTATTTAGAAATATAGCATATTATACCCAAAACATTTTTAGCAATACTTTTTGAATATATGATATAAGCAAATTAGTGGGTGATCGTGTAACCACTAACCATACATAAATGCCTCGCCAGAAAAAAATTTGCCTCCCCAATAAAAAATATCGCACTCCACCACTGGATAGACTGCAATTATTGTTCTTGCAGACTTGTTGACTAATATTAGAACAGGCACGTGTCAACAACTATACATTTTGAATGTCATTTATTTACAGTGATAAAATTATTGATTGACGACTGACATGTAAATTTGTACCAATTGTAATGAATTTAGAAACACAAATTTTCATAAAATACTGAGCCACCGACTACCAATAAAAACATTTTGTTTGTATACAATTGACGTAGGTAGGTACTAGATCTAATCCTATATAGGTACCTACAGGTTATGATGAAAAGATGACGTCATCGTTTTAAATCGATAATTTTGATAGATCAAATCAAGTATTTTAATAATGTTATTATTGTTTTCAAACATATTATGATTGTACCATATAATATAATCCCCCGATTATTCTAATGCAGAACACTCATTAACCAACCATCAAAAACAGTAACTTTTTAACTGGAAAGTAATCCATATTTTTTTTTCATTTTAATAAAAACGCCAATGTATGAATATTAAATAGTGCATCATAAATTATTATGTGCAGGTTATTTCAAATTTAATTTAGATTTTAAATATATAAATTATCTAAGTAGTGAGAAACTTTAAACTTTCAAGACTTAAATAGTACCTACCTTCTACCTATCGCATATTGCTTTGTACAGAAATGGTAAAACTATACAAGACCACCGAATATTAAAATTAAGACATTTTTTAAAAATCAAACTTAGTAGGTACTGTAGGTATTAAAAACCCAAATTTAAAAAAATAAAAATATATATTAATTACTGGAAATAAGGTCAAAAGCGCAACGTTAAAATACTCACCTGTGTACGTTATTATAATATATCATAATCATTTGTAAAATTTGTAAAAATTAATTTACCTTTTTTATCATTAAATTAATATATTATTAATATGTTGTGTAATGACTAATGAGTAATGACGTGTTTATAGTATATATAAATATATATAATATAATGTTGTATATTATTATTTATTGAACCGTATACGTTAATTTCCATACCTATACCAACCAATTATTTTATACACCAGCTAATCTAAACTAAACCACGTTATACGACACAGGTAAATGCTAATAATACCCATAAAGCATTTATAACATAATTAAATGATACATGTGACAGTGAGTACATGCATATGAAATCGGATTTTGTTTACAAAAAAAAAAAAATGTTACAAAAATAAAAATGTTACATGTATGCGATATGCCCAATCCTCATAAAGGTATGTGTATATGTGTCATATAACAAAACTTAAATGTCACGGTTTGACAGCTTATATAATATTATGTTGCTTACCTAATATACTTGTGTTTGCACAAATGAATAATACTTTGTTGCCTTCAATCTATACGGACTAGATACTCAAAACCGGGCATTAACGCGATAAATGATAAACTATAATAATGGTATAATAATAATTTTTTAGAGACTGCGATTTTAAATATTGTATGTCGTGACGTGCCCGGGTGGCAGCGTAAAGTCTGATTTAAAATCTTTTTTTCAGTATTATTATATTCTCTATTAATTCAAAGTTGTTCATTTGAGGTTTTGCAATAGTTCTTCCGTATATTGTAACGCATTAACAATCGACCGCAATATGATTTAATATTTTATTATAGTTTATATTGCATATTATATAGGTATATATTATTATAATATATATCATCTACGTCGTACACACACCACATCGCATTCGCTGCATCGACGAATCATGAACCGTTTCTATCACTATGCAGTTGTGTTCTTCGTGATCGCGTGCAACGTTGTAAGTTGAATAATACCTACTTATACCTCATGCATTTTATGATAAATGTATTAATTATTTAAATAAGTAGTAAGATCCTCTGGATACACTAGACTACCAGATGTGACCTCGGGTTTTCATTTTTTGAAAGGTAGGGAACACGTCAAAGACGTCCTTGGAATTGCACCCTATTAAGTGATTTTATTAAACTATTAAGTAGGTACTCTATTTTGTTTTGTAATGACTGTTTAGTATAAATATATGGATAATAATAAGATACTTATATAGTCTATAGTGATGATTGATGCCTGATGGTCTGGGATAAACGCTGGGGGAGGAATTTATCTGGACTGGACCTATAATTATAGTAGGTAATATAAAGGCAATATGTCAAAAACTCAAAACTCAATAGGGCCAGAAAAAAGTTCGTGAAATTTAGTTTTATTTTAATAGTAATTAATTTCAAGAGGATTTAAATTGATTACGATAAATTCGAGTTATTGACGTTGGAAGTAATAAGAATCTACTGTATAACATAAAATAGCTATAAGCTAATCCGATTATCTCCGTAGTTAGGAATTTATTTAGAATCTTCAAAATATTAAATTAAAATTACTATAGATTGTAAGAAATATAGATAGATACTTTTTTAAGAATTCCCATTCTATAAAATTAGAATTTTTTTCTTAAAATATTTAGCGTTCTATAAGCAATCAAGTCCAGGGGGGCAAATGCCCACATTTGCCCCCCTCCAATCGCCGTATTTTCCATTTGTTTTGCACTGTGTTTAGTTAGTTTCGTAAACAATTCTTGTAACCACGCTTACGTAAATATCATAATATAGATGCACGGAATTCAGATTCACCTGGACGAATACCACTTTGAATCTTGGAGTGACGTACTAACCTACCCCAGTGATTCGTACCACATCGAATATATTAATAGCAACGACTTGTATGGTTGGAGGAGGAAACGGGGATTTTTCTCCTCGTTCAAAATTCCGGGCTACACCGAGTACGTTGACAAAAACGATGAGAAAACAGAAGCCGAGAATACAATCATCACTTCTGACGCCGACGTCACAACCACCGTCAACTCCGAGATGACTGCGACTGCGGCGAATATCAAGGCAACCTACAGGAGCTTAACGGACGCGACCCAATCGTCTAAAGAGACACACATCGTATGTATCGGGCCGGTCGTGGAGAAAAGCTTGGTGGAGGCCGGACAGTACCTGCCACTGGTTAATAAGTTGACTAAGTACATCATACCTAACTTATCGATGTATTACGTGGTCACGTTGTCCTTGAACGTGGCGTCATTAACCACGCAGGGGGCCGAGGACTATGCAAACAACGAAGTAACCGGAGCTCAGGTACGCGTATATTTTATAATACTTTGTCCTCATGTGTATTGATTATAACAATATAGCTTAACACAGTAATCCCTAATAACCTTTTTTTACTCAACGCCCCTGATTTTCAAAAATCTCACCACCACAAAAAAAAATACTCATTGAAAAAATTATGTTGACCTATTTTGGTTAGGTACACCGGGCATGTAAAATATAAATATTTTTTTTTTTTTTTTTTTATTGAACGTAAGCCCGGCAACTGTGGCCATTAGCTGTATGGTTTGTTTGTAGGTGTATTGTATTGTTGGTTGTAGTAGGGGGAACACGTGTGTGTTGGGTTTTGGCAGAATTTTCAATTTGGGCACCCGTAGGTATCTGCCATGCCCGGGTGGGGGATGGCGGCACTTGTTCTCCGGACACCGTGACTTGCCCGAAGAAAAATGCCGCCCAGTGGCCGGGAATCGATCCGGCGTCGGCAGCGTCGCGACCGACGCCTTAGACCGCTCGGCCACCTCGTCCCCCTAAATATTTTTATATTTTTATACAAATGTTTTCAATAGCCAGGTAGGCCTATACATATAAATTAGCCCTATAGTGTCTATTAACTATATACATTTTTATGCTTTTACAATTTCCAATGTAAAGTGTAAACAAATATAATTAATGCATATTATATTATATACTAAATTTGGTATTTTAAATTAAATTTGTTATTTCATTGTATGCAGTGTCACATTTCATTTCGATATTAAGTCATAAGCTATACAAATATAAGTGGCAGAAGAATCGCCATCCTCAGCACCTCTTAAGTAAAACGTCTCCCTCAAAATTAAAAATGCCCACTTTGTTAATTACTGCCTTAGAAGCATCGACGACTGATGAGAGATAAAATGTACTCTCCCCGCAAATAAAGTTATATGGTTAATATCATATTATACACTTGTATAATATCATGGGTTATCCATAAAATTATCTTTGAAATGGCATAATTATATATTATATCATGATTAGAGTCGTTGTTGAAATAAATTGTTCACATTTTTTAAAGGTTCCTCCATTACCTGCGCCTGCCTACCGTTTCATTTTTCTAGTTCAATGACACTAAATATATGTTGTTTTTTTTTCAAAAAAAAAACTCAAAATGCAGTGCTTGTTTTACATGAATAACAAAATTGTGTTTCACTTTTAGACCGAACCCGATGATGGTGCTACGATTGGTCAATATGCGACTGGCATATACGACAAGTTTAAAGATGCTTTTAAAACACATTTTGGACACGTTACGAATTATTTCTCGGATAGAGAAAAAACAAATTCATCGGTAGAAACGCATAGTATTTTCGATCACTTGAAAAGTAAAATTAATATTTTTGGCAGTTTTATGAACAGCGTCGACTCACCCCAAACTGAAAACAAAGAAACCCAAACTGAAACAATAGTAACACAAACGTATATGGAAGGTTCTCAACCCCCCATAACCAACACGATTGTAACAAAAACATATGAAAGTGGTGATGAATCGATCCACCAACCAACAAATGGCGAAACAAATAATGTCATATTCAACACTAAACTATTAGAGAATGGAAAACAAAAAATTGGTAAAATAATAACTGAGATGAAAAATGAATTTAATAGCAATGAAAACTCAGCGAATGACTCTGATGTTGAAGCTTACGATGATGATAATGATGATGAACCCATGAACGATGATGATAATGATAATGATGATGAACCCATGAACGATGATGATAATGATAATGATGATGAACCCATGAACGATGATGATGATGGAACCATGAACGATGACGATGATGGAACCATGAAAGATGATGATTATGGACCTATGAACGATGATGATGATGATGATGATGGAACCATGAACGGTGATAACGATAAAAACAATAATATTCAAATAAATGAAGAAGATTTCAACAAAGTTATGCAAGAATCCATGGTTTTCCAGGTAAGTTAAAACTCTGGTTACATTTTTACAAATATAAAGCTCGTCCGTAATTGCAGCTCATTTTTAGTCCATGGGCAAACAATTTTAAATAATTTGGGAGTTTGAAGTTTAAAAATTACTATTTTAGATATTTACACAATATTACATTATATATATAGGTTGTGCAATGTGAAGTGAGTTGTGCTATACAATTCTACCTATACTAAAACGGCGTTATTATTACGATATTGTAATTGCGAATCAACAATATTAGAAAAAAAACGTACAAATAATTCTAGAAAATTATAATAAGTATAACAATAAATTTCGTTTCGTACACATTTTTTTGTTAATATGTTAAGTTGATGAATAGGCACACATAGGATGGTACATGTGCGTACTACTCACCCACGTGTTTCAAATTAGAACTTCCAGCTTAATTTAATTTTAATAGTTATAAATTAAGCATAACTTAATCTTGAAAACATTATTTTTAATACTGTTAACATTTTCCAATTTATTTGCAATAACATTTTTATTTGAAGTAAAAAAACTTGGAAATTTCAATAAAATATAACCTAATATTATAACTATATAAGGTCCCTTACAACTTACAAGTTCCACAACATTATCTTTAATTCGTCGGCATAAAATATTGAAAGTTATTGGTTTCTTCTATTGTTTCGACAATGGGATTAATAACTAATGCTAAAATCGTGACTGCCATTGATACAGTTTTATCGGATGAAAATATTTAAAAAATAATTCTTTTTAGCTTTAGATTTTGACTTTAAATTTCCAACAGTAAGTCTTTTCCATACATGGTTCAATTTATTAATTTTTTAGTAAAGCCCTATGGCTTATATGGTTTATGTGCTCTCTATATAGAGTATACTGAAACATAATATATTAATATATGAAGGTACTAAAACATAATAAATGTATATAAGCGTTGGTTATATATATACAGTGTTAGGTAAGTTACTTTTAAAAAGTAATTAAGTTACTTTCCTCGTTACTTAGAGTTAAATGTAATTATGTTACTTTACTCGTTACTCAAATAAAATTGTAATGAAATATTGAAATTACTTTACTATAATGATTTATATCAGTACAATGTAATTATTTTAATTTTATTTAAGTTAAAAAAAATTAATGTTATATTCTAATGTAAATTATAAATATAGTAATAACTAATAAGTATTTTCAAATTGAACAGTTTTTGTACAACACTAAATTCTTTATAAAACCTGTATAGTTTAGGAGCGTATAAAAATTAATAATGCACGCTAAGATATTCATAGGAACGTTCGGCGAACCTATTTAGAGGAATCCAACTAAAAAAAAAGGTGCTCTGCTGTACAGTAGGTTACAAGTGGGTCGATGTATAATGGATATTATTAAATTTGAATTCAATGATATAATATCATTGTATAAGAAAAACGATTCTGAGCGGAGACGGTATGTCAGTCTAGGTATAAGACATATTATATACTTATCTATGGCAGCGTTTCCCAACCTTTTTGCAATGGCGACCCATAAATTTAATCTTAATGGGGTACGCGACCCCTAGCTAAAAAAAAAGTATACTGTAAAGTGTAAATAAATAAGATTTTTATTAAAATACAACATACTGAACAATAATAACTTAATAAATAAATAAAATAAATTATAAAAAAATACAAAAAATTAGTATAATAGAACATTTATTGCTGAATTTATTGATGAATTTAGTGTGAACATTGATTCTGGATGCTGTTGCATACAATTTCCCATTGGGGTACAATTTCAGATAAACTGATGCGTATGTCATGTGTGACATCTAATCTGTTTCTTTGTTTTGTTTTAATATTGGCCATGGTAGAAAATCCTTTTTCGCACATATAAGTGGTAGGAAAAAGTAATAGTTTTTTTATTGCATTAATTGAAAGTTCTGGATATTCATTATATACTGCACACCAAAAATCTACAAGAGTTTCATTTTTACCACTGCAGGTCGTAGTTTTACGAATCATAAATTTATCCATTACGTAAAAATTTGTTAAAATAGTTAAAAATGCATGTTTAATCGTAAACTTAAACTTTTCGTAGTCTCGATGTACCGCTCGTTGCTCAACTGCATATTATGGATTATGGACAAACGACCCAGACCGATTGCATCGACTAGTCATTAGCACATTTACCGATGAGATAAGAAATATTCCATAATCGTAATAACTTTACGTCATTTACTCTACAATATTAGGTAGACTTCACATTATTATTATACAATATAGAATATAGATTATAGAATTATAACATAAGCATTTATCAATTTACGGCTAAAATAACTGTAACCGTAACCTCGAGTCGCGACCCATCAAAAAAATTTCGCGACCCATGGTTTGGGAAACGCTGATCTATAGTATTAAAAAAATTTACCTAAGATAATATTATAGGTACCTATAATAAATTCCAAATTGATCATATCACAATATCCATTAGGTACTTATAATGCGTTATACGTCAACAACAAACCCTGATACTATCATAGGCCACACTCCATAGATATATAATAGTGTACTTTAGAAGTTTCAAATAATTATTCAATTTTAAATTTGATAAATTTTGTCAAAATTCGATCTTTAAATGCTTATAAAAAAAAATTGTGCCTATGTATTTTTAATATTTTTCAACTGATATTGTAACAATATATCAGGAGCCTTGTATTAAATTTTTACACTTTTTGGCCCAACAGGAAAAAAACTTTATTGATATTTATAGAAAAAAAAACTAAAAAAATTGGAATTTGAAAATATCCGTAAAAAGCTAAAAAAGAGTCAAAATATTTTCAAAATTGTATAGTGTATAGGAAATGCTAATATAAATATTCAGTGAAATTTTCATGTATCTACAGTTATTCATTTTTGAATTACAACAAAATAAGGAAATCGCTACATGAGAAATCGAGTGAATATCCAATGTTGTAAAAATTTGAAATTCAAACGCTCATAAAATTTTAATTTGACTTTCTTATAGACATTTTTTTTTGATAAAGGTATATAATCTTATAAGGAATCTTGTATTACATTTTAAAACCTTAGATTTAAAAAGAAAAATTTTTACGAATTCTTAACTCAATATAATTTGCTAATTTTCATGATTTTTCCATATTTTGTCAATTTTTAAACTTTAAATGCTTATAAAAAAAACTGTGATTAAGGATTTTTAATATTTTTCAAATGCCATTTTAACAATATAGTAGGAGCCTTGTATTAAATTTTCAAGCTTTTTTAATAAAAGCACTTTTACTGTCCCAAAACGTGATGACAGACACAAAAAAAATATAAAAATATTAAAATATAAAAACACACATCATTGTAAAACCAATACATTCATCGCTCCGCTCAGAATCTAAAACAAATATCATTGTTAAATCAACACATTCATCGTTTCACTCAGAATCTAATAAATGTAACTGTTCTTGTGATTTACAGTGCAATTCGACATGTCGAATTTCAAAACCTAAGAGAACTGAATTGTGGCGAGTTAAAATTAAATAAACATAGTACATGCATATTAGATTTGTAAACATAATATTATTAATATTACCCGCATAGACATAGATTTTTTTTTTCAATTCACAATAGGTAGGAGGTTCTTAATAGTTCAAAACTGTAGCGCGTTATTCTATAGAAATTACTTATAAAAAGTTATTTCCATTACATTTTCTTTACATATGGAAATAATTCTAATGAAATTACGTAACGCTTTACAAGCATAGTAAAGCGTTACTTTCGTTACGTTACTGCCCAACACTGTATATATACTTTAATACTTATTATATCGATGTCAACCATTCCTAGTATTTGTTTATATTCTAAGACATTATCAATTTAGGATTTTAAGTAGGTTATCTAATAAAGTGGATCTTGCCATTCTAAATGACGGAAATCACTTTGTTCTCCGATAATAGTTTATTTGTTCTAGGTTCCGATAAGTCGGAAAAACGCTAACAACGCTAAAGCGCTTAAGGGGATTCGATACCGTGATTTTCTGTTTTTGTCTAACACACGCGTGACATAGTATTTTAGACGTGTCTTTTGCCAAACATACCAATTGATCCAATGAAGCGATAAGAATTCTGAAAACAGATTTGAATTTGTCATAAAGTCTACTTGAAATCGACTTTCCCACATTTTTGATATTATCCCCCAAATTTTTTGAAATGTCATATTCAAAAAGAGCATTTAAATATTCTGTTATTTCAATTTTTGGAGAAGTTAAAATCAAAAAATCAAAAATGTGGGAAAGTTGATTTCAAGTAGACGTAATACGTATTAGTATTTTCTTGAGAATCTAAAAGAAATCATTTATCAAATACCGTCTTATGTTGAATATCGCGGATAATAATATATATAAATATATATTTATTCTGGTTTTAGCCTGACTTTATAAAAACACTTGATGGCAAGAAGTTGTTGAACCGCATAGATGAAGTGCAAAAATCATTATCAAATCCTAACCCCAACAATAGAAAAACATTTGAAGCTTTAACAGAGGAATTGGGCATTGATAAACTCTATTCTGATGATCATGTAAATGAACTAATCGACGTTCTCGAAAAAATTACGAACTATTTCATAGTTAAGGCTATTGAAAAAAATGAATCATTAACGATGCCACCCACATCATCCACACCACCCACACCACCTATGGATTAGCAGTGATACAATTGATGGTCGTTTTATACTTTAATTAATATAGAATAATATAAAACTATAATATTCAATTTATTATTTTTATTTGATCTAGTTTTCATTTAAATATAAACTACAAGAATTATGTAAATTTATTTTAATATATAACTCGTATTCAATCACACACAGTTTTATAATATGATATTTTAATTTATAAAATTAAATAAATTATAAATACGAGTATATTCCACTGAACTCAAAATTCAAATTCAGGTAACTCATTTTGATGCATAGTAGGTATCGAGTGTAACTCGTCATTGAGTACACCATAGTAATGGATGTGTTGAAATTTAAATTCAATGATAATAATAATTGCAGATAAGAAAAATGGTTCTGAGAGGAGACTCACAGTCTTCTATATTTTGAATGATATATTTTATTATGTTATATTCATTATTCACTATTATTTCAATTAGGAATATCGAATATGGTAAGTTGAAGTAGTTGAACCAATATTTAACAAAAAAAAATTGCATGTATTATTATAATAATACTAGTTGTTATTAACTTGTAACGTGTAAGTCAGTACCGACTGATATGAATAGGTTCGTACTTCGTATATTGTATAATGTAGAGTTAATATACTACACAAAGAAACAATAGCAACTCTAAATTTTTATAGCATGACATTTCACCTGTTAACGGTGAATCGTTATTATATAAGTACGTTTGAATATTTGTAAAATTGTGTAAATGTATAATAATTGAACAAATGACTGACAGTGCCTAAAGCATATTGTAAAATCAAAGTGACATTTTTGCAATCGTCTTATTTGCACAAATGAAATATTATGTAGAGAACCTGACTTACGTATAATATTATATGTATAATAATTCGATGATATAATATGATGTTTAATCATTTGGATTTGAGGTGCATTTATTCATCGTTTTTCGAATCGGCGATTAACGTATTTCTTCTTAAATAATAAATTTAATATTTATGCAATGAGTAGGTAATGCACTATGAACTGTCAACAACTAACAACAGTGTGCATCGTTATGACAACATATAAAATGGTAAGTATAATATTTGCACTATATGTCTATGTTTCAATAATCCACTTCTAGTCATATATAAAAATTTATACTCAAAATCAAACTTAATTTTAGGATAATATGCAGCCCATTAATTTATCTTGAAACCACATAATATACATTATTTTTAAGCATTTTAAGGTGGGAAATTATTTTTATTATGTTATGGACAATGACATAATTGAACAAAATGTTAAACAAATATTATAAAACTGCAGATACCCTTAGACGATTTTTATATTCAACTAAACATATTCTAAAAAAATATATTAAAATATATTATTATACTTACATAAGTTCAGGTTTTCACACTGCATCGTCTCGTGACTCTTTAGCAGTGAATGCGCTGAATACGTCGATGTCAAAATGTTGGAAACTCGATACCACTGACAACCTGTACAAGTTGAATACAATATTTCAAATCAAACTAGGTATACACGCGATGCAGTGTACAGGCCTAAATGTATATTATACCTTAATATTATAATGTATCTTAACTCACAGGCATCCGGGCAATTGTCATTTGGTCAAAGACTAGCGCTCTCACGTAACTACCCAAGATCCATGCTGAACCACGGCGTGTTGCGGCGGCCACCATTCGGCTACCACTACGAGACGAGGAGACACATCTTGAATACTTATCCGAGGAATTCGTATACGATAAGGTACGGTCTATCGAACGTTGTCAGAAACAACAATCGCGGGTCACCGTCGAAGGGTGGAAAAAAAAATCCCAAAAAGAAGAATAAAAAGAAGAAATCCGATGACGATGATGAGCCGCCGGATGACACCTCTCCGTCGGCCTCGAGTCCACCAGAAGCAAGTCCACCAGAAGGAAGTCCAGCAAAAGGAAGTCCACCAGCTGTCAATCCAGCGCCGCCTGGAGGACAGAGTTCACCGTAGAGCCAAAGAGAAAAACGGACAGACGCCGAGTTGTCACCAGCTTTTTGAAAATTAAAACAAGCAATATTATCATTTTATTATATTATTCAAATAACCTTACTCATTTCCAATTCAGCCTTTTCGTGTGTGTTTGAAAATTGTTAAATAATATAATAGCTACCTATAATTAGTTACCTTGATTATAGGTTGGGTCGCCTTTTTTTTGTGTGGTGTAGATACTAAGCCATCTAGTCGAAATAACTACATAGGTATCTATTTTATTAGAAATAAAAGTCTTTTAAAGATAATTTAATGACAACATTTCACAGGTAACGAGTGCACGTTAACTGGGAGTTTGTAATTTGCACCAAATTAAAGATATGTAATTTGCACCACTCCAGGTAGTCGAAAGTAGTGTTTGTAATTTGCACCAAAATAAGGGTATGTAATTTGCACCACCCTCAGGTAGTAAGAAATAATAATTGTAATTTGCACCAAAATTAAAATCGATTTTTTTTCGATACTATAATTAGTATCGATAGTGTTATTACTCGATATTCTCGTTGACGCGACGTCAAGACTAGATGAACACGAATGACAATAATAATTTTTCGGGATTTTTCACCTTATCTGGAAATATTTTGACGTTTTACGTCCAATTGTCGGTCGTAATCGCATTAAATCGAGTTATATATATATTTATATAATGTAAATCAGTTTATTATTTTGATCATAGGCGTGTCTACGGGTCATGCCTGTCATGCACAGGCATGACCTGCGAAATTTGGTCCAACTTTGGTACATTATAAATTAGGGTGCATAATATACACTTTTTTTTCTAAGTTTCTGATTTCGTATTAAGTTTTTGATTTTCATCACGTAAAAATAAACGTTTGTAAAAAGTATAATTAGTATTAAAATAATTATATTTTAAAATTAAGTACTAAATACAATTTCATAATATAACATTATAACCTACCTAGTTATTATTTTATTCATCTCATACAAAAAATATCGTTTTTTATTCCTAATAAAAAAAGTAAAAGTAATTTCAAAATTTGGGGGTCATATTCCCAAATCTTGATCTAATTTTTTTTTTTTTTTGGGGGGGGGGATGCAGTTTATTCCCCTGAATATGCCACTGTTGTGCACGACCTGCGGATGAGATCTGGACACGCCTATGATTTTGATCAAATACCTACTAAGCTATACGTTTAGTCTTGCCGTTTCGTCGTAATACGTAATTTAACGTAACATTTTTTTATTGCAGTATTTAATTTTTTTCTTGAAATATGGAAGTTAAGTTAATTAAAAGTAATCGCGGGGAAGATATTTTAGAATACTATCGAAAAAATAATCGATTTTAATTTTGGTGCAAATTACAATTCCTATTTCTTACTACCTGTGGGTGGTGCAAATTACTTACCCTTATTTTGGTGCAAATTACAAACGCATTAAAAAAAAAATGGTGCAAATTACACATGTTTTATATATTTTGGGTTAATTTTGGTGCAAATTGACTACAGCCCGTTAACTATACTTTAAAACTCAAATTCACATTTAATTTTTTTATTACAAATTGTAAACATAGTTTAAACTTAGAAAATTAGACAGCAAATCACTTTGTTGAGAGACTACATTAATGATTTCATCGTGGTCTAGAGTAGCCAATTTTTATTTTTATACGCCCATCATCAAAAAAGCTTCAATTGTATTACTGTGGAAAGCGGTTTGCGAGTACTATCCTACGGAGTCTATTATTATCATAGAACAATTTATTATATTATAATCACAGAATAGATTAAATCGATTCTGTGTTATAATTGCTAGTTGAAGGTATGCGACGCGGCGCGCACAGGCGCACAGCGATAAACTTACGGGAATCGGGAGGATAAGAAAAACCAATCTATTTTTAGATAACGAATAATTGTTCATTTTTATTTTTTGATCTCATGACCGACATGATGTTTATATTATAATATTGAATTATAAATGTAGACAGCGGCCCACCGGAAATTTTCCAATTTCCCGGTGGGCTAGTCCGTCCCTGTTTGCCAGGTATTATAAATGTTGATCCAGGCTGCTTTCACTCTTAATCTTTCACGGTTAGCGGCGACAAAGTGTTGAAGACACTATATTAGACACTTAGTGTATTAACAATAAGAATAAATAATCGAAATTGTTTGAGCTATGCCTATGCGCCGTACACACTTGTATAGTACATTAAATTTAATTTTCTACATAATAATAAAAATACAACGTCTTTATTATAAACAAATGGACGCATGTAGAAACCCAGAAAATAATCGTACAGACCTTAGGGTTCTAGACTGTAAATACTCGACCGTATTTTCACAGAATATAGAAACCCCGAATTTCACAAACCGTATAGTTCCAGACTGTATTTCACCGGAAAAATAAATACGCAAAACGTATAGTAACCGACCGTAGGATTATGGAAAAAATTATTAATGTTCTTGATTATTATTTACAATTAATACACAACCATGGCAAAAACAGTGACAGCCATGGTTATTCTTAAAGTATAAGGGGAGCGGGACAACAATAATTAAATTATAAAAATACCTCCTCGTAAAATCATGAATTTTGACCTTATTTATAGTAAAATGACCTTAGCTGTAACACAGACATAATATGTCTAATCAGTTAGCACAGTCCATTTATAATACAGTCAAATTCGCGTATAAAGATTCCGTATATAACGATATTCCGGGTAAAACGATTCCAAGCAATGTATTTGATTTTTTTTACATGTTACGTCGCCGTTTTGATTGCTATCTGTTTAGACACGTTCCGAATAAGTAAAAATGTCAAATAAAAGAAGACGCTGTTTCACTATTGCTGAAAAAGTGAAAATAATTGAACTTTTAGAAAGTGGTGTTTCTAATAAAGATCTTTTCCAAGAGCTAGGAATCAGCCAATCAACACTATCTACCATATGGAAATCAAAAGACTAATAAAAAGGTTACTGTCAAGTTACTACTAATAAAAAGAGTTTTTCAAAAAGACGTGACATCTAATAAAAGATTAAAATGTAGCCAACGTAATAAACAACTAGCAAAGGAAAAACGACATATCCTATTGACTGTAGATAATTGTCCGGCTCATCCTCCTGATCAAACTGAATTTATAAAGTTGGTTTTTCTCCCTTCAAACACGACGTCTGTGTTACAACCAATGGATCAAGGTATTATTAAAGCATTAAAAGTGAAATTTTGGAAAAAACTAGTACTCAAAATTATTAATCAAGAGGAACAGGGAACAGATATTAAAATTTCAGTATTAGATGCAATTTTAATGATCTCCGATGCAGAGAATGATGTTTCTACCACTACAATAAGAAACTGTTTCCACCACGCTGGATTCAAGGCTTCGGTAAACGACGAAACAGAAATAGTAAGTGAAAATAATTTGGACACAGAGTGCTTTTCTGAAGAAAACATACAAAGTTTGGCGGAGGTTGATGATGCTCTTTTGACCAACGAAGAACAGAATGAAGAAGAAATTGTCAAGTCAATTTTGAATGCAAATAATGATGAAAGTAATGAACAAGCAGACGAAGAGAGTGAAGAAATCATATTCAAAGTACCATCCATTTCGTAAATGTATTTTTATATTGATCAGGTGCGCACTTTTGTTTCGGTAAACAGTAACATAAATACGCCAGATGTATCAATGGCATTAAATAATATTTCTACTTATGTAAAAAAATCTTATTCAAATTATAAACAAACTACTATTATAGATTATTTTTTAAACAAATCGTAAACATATACTATATTTATTATGTATTATAATATGAACTTTTACTAAAATTCATATAAATACCTTGAATGTTAATATATGTAATCTTAAATAAAATTATACAGTAAAAATGTGTTTAGTAAATCAATTTTTCAAAAAAATCATGTTAGTTTTTATGATCCGGATATAACGAAGATCGTTTTAAGCAAATTTGACTGTATTATTATAAATGGACTGTGTTAACTGATTAGAGAACTAAAACTTGACTGATATTAGAAAGATATAATGCTGGTCAGTGGTGAATAGGACCACCGGGATTTTCCTGTGTTGATGTATGGGGGCCCTAGGACCATTTATCAAGCACTAAATCTTGTGTGATGAAGATAAAAAAATAATTTTAATAAAGATGCAAATTGCCTAATTAAATATTTTTAACCACTCTACAAAAAAAAAATACCATAATCATTTAGCTATAAACAATATTTATTTTTCTTCCCCGTATCGGCCGTGTCATTGAGGATATTAAGATTTATTTTTAGAATAGAGATATAGAAAACCGCATTTAATATCGGTAGATTATAGCTGTACTATATAATGTACCAATGCGGTGGTTATACGCTTTTATAGTTTAAAAAAATTTTTTTTTTTCAAAAAGTGTGATTTTAACGCTGATTTCGAAACTGTTTGAATTTTTACCTGACCTAGCTAACCATTATTTTGCAAGTTAAAGTCATCCAAAGTTTGCGATTTTACGTTTATATACGCATGTGCGCAACACTATTTTAATAATGCTGGGAGGAACTATTGTTTGGTGATTTTTAAATTTTTTTGTCCGAGCGCACCGCAGCGAGCGAGTGTCAACTCTAGCACATTATGTGCTTTTTAACAACTTTGTTTAATTCTAAGGCCTGCCCGAGGTGGTTTTACATACGATTAGCAAATCGGGGGATATTTTCGATTTTTTTGCCCTATCGATATTCAATTCTAAGTATTTTTTTTTTTAAATGGGCGTTACGAAAAGAGTTTAGTTTTTGAAGTTTTTCATCAATAACTTCAAAACGAAGTTTGTCCGGCCTTTTTTTAAAATCTTCAAAGCACCCTTAAATACACATTTTGAAAAAAAAAAATTTTAAAAATTGGAAATTTTCTAAACCAGAATTGTTTCCAAATTTGTACTAACAGTAGAGTACTTATGTTACTTATTTTGTAGTTTTCAAGTTTTGTATTGTATTTTTATATAAAAATTAAATTTCACT